TGGCAAATGACAAGATGTCAGCAATTGCTCTTCATCCCCAATATGCAGATGCCACTTTGATGTTTGGTGATCATGAACCTAGTCATCTGCCTGCTACAAATGTCCTGCGAATGGTAAAGTACAAAGATCTGAAGGGAACGTACCTGCACAAATATTTGCCGTTGTACTTGCAAAGCACATTCTACCATCTGAGGGTTTTATACTGCAGGTGTCATACGATTACCTGTGTGTAAGATATCGCAGCTCAGCACAGCTGGTTTGACGCCAGTTTGGAGTGAATCAGAGAATGCTGGGTTTGTGAGAGTCAACTATGAATGAATCCTGGTTTGATTCAGTTACTCAGTTTGGGGTTAGTGCAAAACAAGTGCAAAAGCTTTGGCACCGGTTTGGAGAGGATTTCAGGGTTTGTAGTTAATGAAGCTCCTTCCACGGGGTTTTTTAAACAGAGGTTAGATGGCCACCTGTCGCGAACGCTTTAGTTGAGATTACTTGCATTGCAAGGAAGACTCTCAGGATCCCTTCAAACATTAGAATTCTATTATTATTTTTATCTGCAAACTCTCCCCCTACTGCTTTTCTCTGCCAGGAAAGCCACCTTCAGTATCAGAGAGTTTGGGGGGGGGGGGAGAGCAGCTTGGGAATCCCAAATGTCCTCAGGGACATTCTGTCCTCAGGGAATGGTGTACATTAAACAACTGCTGACCTAGTAGCTGAAGAAAAACAGTGGTTTGCAGTGCAATCCCATGGGAGTGAGCTCTGTAGCAGAGGGGAGGGGTGAGGGCCATATTCCCCCCCCCAATAAACTTTCCAAGGGCTGCATGCTAGTGGTGGGTAGAGTATGTCCCAGCCATAACGAAAGTCGGAAGCTTCTTCACAAATACAGTCATACCTCGGGTTACAGGTGCTTCAGGTTGCGTTTTTTCAGGTTGCGGACCGCCGAAACCCGGAAGTACAGGAATGGGTTACTTCTGGGTTTTGGTGGTCGCGCATGCGCAGAAGTGCTAAATCATGCTTTGCGCATGCGCAGAAGAGCCAAATCGCAACCCGTGCGTGCGCAGACACGGGTTGCGAATGCTGTGGGTTGCGAACGTGCATCCCGCACGGATCACGTTCGCAACCCGAGCGTCCAGTGTACACCCTTCCATCCAGGGAAACAAGCAGCACTGTCAAGGTTGAAGGAAGCGTCAGTCAGGCAAAAGGGATTTTGGGGAGGGATTCAGCCTGACTTCTGTAGACTTCCGCAGGACTCTTTGGTTGGTCTTATCTCAAAAGAGTTATGCATAGCTCTCACAGCTTGCATATGCTTCCGTGCTGGCCGGGCTCAGTTTTGCACTTTGCTTCCCGTGCACCTCCAGATCTGAGAGGGAGCCAAACTTTTTAGCATCGCGTCCGCAAATGGCCGAGTTTGTTACTTATTTTTCAATAGCAGTCTGTTGTCTGTGGGGGCACGACGGGTCTGTGTCAGACCAGGCACTCGGCATAATGCATGTATCGAGGTTTGGCATTTGGTGTTGGGCGTTTCTCTCCCCACCCCTCTGCCACCGCCCGCCCCCCCCAGCCGAACTTTGTAACCAGACACCCAGCTGCTCCAACCTCAAACTGCATGCAGCGATTTTTAGCGGTTCAAGCAAGTGTTGAGGAACGCATTGTGGTGCTTTGTTACTTTGCAGCGCGCAAGGTTTAAAGCCTCCGATTAAAATAAAGGTTCCAGACCCCCTCCGGGGGGGGGGTGTAGAAAAAAGCTTTTACGCAGACCTTTAAAAATCTTGTGGCGAGATTAATGCAACAAATCAGTGCCGTGCTTGTTCGTCGGCTGGCAAGATCTGTGGACCAGGGAAACTAGGGAAACAAACAACCAAAAAAAAAAAAAAAAATGGGGGGGGGAGATAGATCAATTCTCTTCTGGCTGCAGCTGTTTTGCATCCTTTACCCAATTCTGGCTGCACAAAATACCACACATTGAAGGAAGCTGTATGGCTTGTTTTTCAACCACCTCCTTCCCGCCTTCTCTTCTCACATACCCCTGGGAAACAGACCACAAAATTGGGGGCAGAACCTCTGAAGAAGCTTATATTTTTCCTCCCTGTCCTCTTAGGAAGCTCCTCACAATGGTATTCCTTTAAATGAGAGAAATGAGCATTTAGCAGCATATACAGTGGTACCTCTGGATACGTACTTAATTCGTTCCGGAGGTCCGTTCTTACCCTGAAACTGTTCTTAACCTGAAGCACCACTTCAGGCCCCACCCACTGAAGCTAATGGGGCCTTCCGCTGCTGCCGTGCGATTTCTAGTTCTCATCCTGAAGCAAAGTTCTTAACCCGAGGTATTATTTCTGGGTTAGCGGAGTCTGTAACCTGAAGCGTCTGTATCCTGAAGCGTATGTAACCCGAGGTACCACTGTACTGTTACCTCCTTTGCTTTTATGGATAACTTCCAAGCATGGGCTATAAGTAGTGTTAGAAACTCGCCGTTTTGCGACTTGGCGAGGATCCGATTGCAGCCACGTGGAGATCTCTAGATGCTAGGCAGGCAACTGACGTCTCCATCTGGCTGGCCCCTCCAGCTTTCTGAAGCAGGTAAGCAGTAGAGGTGTGTTCTTTTATTGCATTTATATCCCATGTTTTTCTCCAAGAAGTACATGGTTCACCCCACTCCTCAGTTAACCTCTACAACACTCCTATGAGGTACGTTAATGAGGCTGTGACTGGCCCTACCTAGGTCATCCAGTGAGCTTCATGACTGAGTGGAGATTTGAACCCTCATCTCCCAGGTCCTAGTCTGACACCCTTAACCACTACACCACCCTGGCTTCCTAGAGTTCTCCTGCTATGGGGCAGCTATATAAAGTAAGTAGGTAAATAAATAAATACGGGGAATGCAAACTGTCACTTAACAAAGGATCTGAAATATTTTCATTGAAGCCCGAGTTTGTTTTCTTCTGGATTCTTTTATTTGATGTTTTATTGTGTGAGTAAATGGCTTTGAGATTTTTTTTCTTTAACGTGTAAAGTGAAATGAAATTAATAATAACAATAACAATCCCACCGGGGTGGTGGTGGAGGAATGGCACCTAGATATTCTGTTTCGGTGGACGTAACCCAGGTTTAAGGTGCCATTTGGTGAGTAGCTTTTATATCTGAGTTTCTAACACTGAATGTGGTGAGCCTGTTCACACATTATGCAGACCAAATGCACCAGGGAGCTGCTGCAGCTCACTTGGAACTCCCTAAGGAGTGCAGCTGTACAAGCAAGGGATAATAATAATAATAATAATAATAATAATAATAATAATAATTTATTTATACCCCACCCATCTCGCTGGGCTTCCCCAGCCACTCTGGGCGGCTTCCAACAAAATATTAAAATACAGTAATGCATCAAACATTAAAAGCTTCCCTAAACAGGGCTGCCTTCAGACATCTTCTAAAAGTCTGTTCTGGTAATTGTTCTGGTATGTGTTTGCAGGCACACATTTATTGCATTCCCACATTACTTTTTTAGGCAGGTACTTGAAACACCATGGGTGTCAATCACCCCAGAAATATAGCATACTGAAAGGGCCCTGTCTTAGATGTTAATTTAGTAGTTGGTGGGTTGAATGTTGGGGTTCTTCAGAGGCTAGGATTCGAATCCCTTCTTGCCCATGGACAGACCGGCAAAACCTGAGCAAGCTGCTGTTTCTTAACCTCCACATGGGTGTAATGAATGGTTCTCTGGCAAGAATTTTTGCAACACCACCTTAGCATTCCGGAAGCCCTGTCAAAATTATACATTAATATGTTGGGAAGCTCAATGGCAGAGCACACACTTTGCCTGCTTAATTTTTCGGGCACAGTTGACTGCATCTCCTGATAGCGTGTTCCCCCCCACCCAGACTTGCCCGAAATCCTGGGTAGCCACTCCCTGTCAGTGTAGATCAGTAGCTCCTTCCCCGCAGACCACTTGAAAATTGCGAAGGGTCTTGGTGGACCACCCAATTATTTTTCTGCCTGCCTAGCAGTTATAACAGTGCTGTGCTAGGTGCTGTATGTTTCCTCCCCAAAAGTGCAATTTTTTTTTGTTTCTTCTTTTTCTTAGTTGCATTTTGTTCCATTGCAATTTGCAGCTGATAAGCATACGCTCATAAGCTACATAAGCATGAGCCCAGCATTACCATACAGGTTTACATCAGGTATGTGTGAATGTGCATCATGTTTGCGATGAAAGGGGAATGTTCTGTTGTTCAATGCCAGTCAAGAATCCCCGAACTTTCAGAATCAGAGGTACGTAAGTTGCTTGTAGTAATCAGCATTGAAAAACTTCCACTCCCACACTTGGTGTTAAAGAACTTCTTGAGAACGTCGCTTACTTACAGAGATCGCTCAGTTTTGTTGGGGTGGGAAAATGGGGCTGCTTCTTTTTAATGAGTGCAGCTTTCTTAACAGATATATTAATAGCTATAACAAAGTATTCACTCATTGGCTGATTGGGTACCAAGCAGGTATTGCAAACATCTTGGCTATAAATTGAAAAGTCCCACCTCCCCAAAGGCAAATCAACATTTGGGGACATGGAACACTTAAAACCATAGCAAACTATTGCCCTGAATACAATACAACTGTATATCGTGTATGTCACGTTCAGACAGGACCTAATCACGTAAGCAATTTATCCTACATAATAATAATAACTGCTGGGCAAGCAGTTTTACATGATTGTGTGTGTGTGTGTGTGTGTGTGTGTGTGTGTTTTCAAGCATCATTTTATTTCACTCGAGGCAGGAGATGGAGAAATCTGAGGCAGCTGGGAAACAAGAGGAGTCAGAGGCTGTGCTGTGCACCGAGGCTTTGTCACCATGTCGCAGGAGCAATGTGCTTGGCAGAGTCTCAGATTGCATTCTTGAACTAGAGTCTTTATTCTGCAGCCCTTTAAAGCACGTTCCCAACACTGAGGTCCTAAGCCTGTCACCAGCAACCCAGTCAAATGTGATACTGCGTTCATCGTTAACATTACCGTCTCCGTCTAAATCGCTCAGTTGGCAGAGCCCGAGCCTCTGAATCTCAGGGCGGTGGGTTCGAAACCCCACATTGGGCAAAAAGATTCCTGAACTGCAGTGGGTTGGGCCATAGATGATCCTCATGGTCCCTTTCAGCTCTTACGATTTTATGATTCTAAATCTCAGAATCTCTTAAGAGATTTGTAGCTGCGTGAATTGGACACAACAATAGCATTTCACTTTTTCTGAAAGAAAATACCTTCCATTTCCGGGTAGGGGATAACAAAAAGGAAGATCCCTCTGCCCTAAAAAAAATAAATAAAAAATCAACCCTTTCGCAATAAATGTTTGGGTCAGAATGGAAGTTTTGGAATATGAGTTGGGAAGCCTGGCAGGATCAGGGAGTCTGGGCTGACCCATTTTGTCCCCCGATTAGGAACATGAAAACAGTGATAAGTGGTCTGGATTGGATGTAACAGGGACCATAGCTTAGCTTTATGAGAATGAATTCTTGCACACAAGGAGAATTTAGAGGGATGTAGAGGAACATGATGCGGGTGGCGCTGTGGGTTAAACCACAGAGCCTAGGGCTTGCCGATCAGAAGGTCGGCGGTTCAAATCCCCGCGACGGGGTGAGCTCCCGTTGCTCGGTCCCTGCTCCTGCCAACCTAGCAGTTCAAAAGCACGTCAAAGTGCAAGTAGATAAATAGGTACCGCTCCGGCGGGAAGGTAAATGGCGTTTCTGTGTGCTGCTCTGGTTCTGCCAGAAGCGGCTTAGTCATGCTGGCCACATGACCCGGAAGCTGTACGCCGGCTCCCTCGGCCAATAAAGCGAGATGAGCTCCGCAACCGCAGAGTCTGCCATTACTGGACCTAATGGTCAGGGGTCCGTTTACCTTTTTAGAGGAACATGTGGAGGACACAACAGAATATAAGGCAGCTGTCTTATCCCAAGTCAGGTTGTTTGGTCCATACATATTTATTTAATAAGTAAATAATAATAATATTGCTCTATAGCGCCTACATTGTCAGTGGCTCTTCAGGCTTTCAAGCAATCGTCTTTCTCATCTGACCTGGAGATGCCGGAGTTTGAACCTGGGACCTTCTGCATACAAAGCAAGCACTGGACCACCAAGCTACAGCTGCTTCTATTTTAGATTAGCCACATGTCCAAACCCAGACAAACTTGGGTTAATTTTGTTGTTGTTGTTTAGTCGTTTAGTCGTGTCCGACTCTTCGTGACCCCGTGGACCAGAGCATGCCAGGCACTCCTGTCTTCTACTGCCTCCCGCAGTTTGGTCAAGCTCATGCTGGTAGCTTCGAGAACACTGTCCAACCATCTCATCCTCTGTCGTCCCCTTCTCCTTGTGCCCTCCATCTTTCCCAACATCAGGGTCTTTTCCAGGGAGTCTTCTCTTCTCATGAGGTGGCCAAAGTATTGGAGCCTCAGCTTCAGGATCTGTCCTTCCAGTGAGCACTCAGGGCTGATTTCCTTCAGAATGGAGAGGTTTGATCTTATTGCAGTCCATGGGACTCTCAAGAGCCTCCTCTAGCACCACAATTCAAAAGCATCAATTCTTCGGCGATCAGCCTTCTTCATGGTCCAGCTCTCACTTCCATACATCACTACTGGGGAAAATCTTAACCATGGTTTATTGAAACAAGCCAGCTTCTTCAAACCATAGCTTCAGAAGTTAGCTTGTTCCAACAAACTGTAGTCAACATTGACCCTTATCAGTTTGGACGCAACGCTATACTGCGATTAATCTAAAACAGAAGTGGAAACTTCCAGTTTCCTTGTTGGCATGAGCCCATGACTTTCCTACAGTCATCCTCATAACTATAAACCATGCTTTAGTGTTAGGTGAAAACTGGACCAGTTTGGAGACCTGTGAATACGGGTTACTAGGCCACAAACCTTAGATTCCCCTGGTACCTTTACATTCCATGGAATTTGGAGAGCAGCGAGCTGTGTCTTCTCTTGCAAGTTTCCCCCGTGGTCCCTTTGTCGCTTCTTCGCCTGTGTGACATTTGTGACACCTGGAGTCCTCCTTCCTACAGTGAGCAGGCAGAGGAAGAGGGAATACAGTGGTACCTCAGGTTAAGTACTTAATTCGTTCCGGAGGTCCGTACTTAACCTGAAACTGTTCTTAACCTGAAGCACCACTTTAGCTAATGGGGCCTCCTGCTGCTGCCGCGCTGCCAGAGCACGATTTCTGTTCTCACCCTGAAGCAAAGTTCTTAACCTGAAGCACTATTTCCGGGTTAGCGGAGTCTGTAACCTGAAGCGTCTGTAACCTGAAGCGTATGTAACCTGAGGTACCACTGTAAAGCCTGTGTGCGCCTCATCTGCAGACTGGCCAGCAAATTTGCAGAGAAGTACTCAAGTACTGACTTGGCAACCTATGAATGAGCGAAGATAGCAAGGGAGTGTGTCTCAAACACCATGTCCGTTCCTTGTTTTAATAGATAAGGGATAGTTACCTCAGGCCAACCATTTCAGGCTGCTCTGTAAATAAGGGAAATTAAGTTCTACATGCTTTGATCCTTTCCTCCCATGCAGGGTACTCCCGTTTTACATGGTGGCGTGGCGAAAACTCTGCTTGCGGTAAAGGTTATCATGATGACTGTTGTGATAATTTGAATTAGTTTTGGAGTTTGCTTTTCCCCCACACTCTCCGGAGCGGAGGGTCTCTTTGTCAGTCCCTTTCGTACTTTGGAAATGGCATTATCTGCCTACAATTCCAGACCTCTGTAAGATTGCATGACATAAAGAAGTGTGGAGTTATTGAAGTGCTTTCAGTATGAGCAAGTTAGAAAAAAGCTTAGTAGACCACCCTGCTGGTGGTCTGCTAAGACTGCTGTCAGCCTTCGCCAATTCGGGACACTCTGGTTTGTAAACATAAGAAAAAAGAAGAGGAGGGTTGTTGGTCATTTTTGAAATTCAGCGAATAACCAAGTCTGACCCCAACCGTCCTTCCATATTATAGTCGGTTAATTCCCATGTGCATTAATCTATCTGCGTTAAGGAGCCTCTGCAGTTTGGCTTTCTGTGTTCAAGTTGGATTTCTAAGCCAAGCTGTGCTAGCAAAGGTGGGGTGTGTGTGTGTTGTTTGTATGTGTTAGCTTAAAAATAAATAAATAAAGATGAAGCAAACTTGCAGATGAGCTGATACAGATACAGTGGTACCTCGGGTTAAGTACTTAATTTGTTCCAGAGATCTGTTCTTAACCTGAAACTGTTCTTAACCTGAAGCACCACTTTAGCTAATGGGGCCTCCTGCTGCCGCCGCGCCGCCGGAGCACAATTTCTGTTCTCATCCTGAAGCAAAGTTCTTAACCTGAAGCACTATTTCTGGGTTAGCGGAGTCTGTAACCTGAAGCATATGTAACCTGAAGCGTATGTAACCCGAGGTACCACTGTATATGTATGTTTGGAATTATATCATTTAGGCAGGCCATTCCCCAAACTCTCCCAGGTATGACAGCAGAATTGAAAACACATAACTACCGTACTTTGCCTTGTATAAGACGTCCCCATGTATAAGATGCCCCCTATTTTGGGGGATTCAAATTTTTAAAAATGGGGGGAGATGGCACAGTTTTGAGCTTTTTTTGCGGAGGATTACCAAGGGTTGTCGAGCTTTTTTTTATAGGGGGGATCGCTCACCCGCATGTGTTGCAAAATCCGCCTCTCTGCTGTCCCTGCGCTGCCTTTCGCCCGCCCAATTGCCACAGCGCCAGCCAACCAACGCCAACCATTGACGCAGCAACCAATGACACGCACAATAGCCGCTGACAGCTGGGGCGACAACCAATCAAATATCCGCCCTATGCACTACCCATGTGTAAGACGACCCCCATTTTTCAGCACGATTTTAAAAGAAGAAAACCTAGTCTTATACACGGAAGAGTACGGTAGATAGTACATGTGCATACCAAAAACAGCAACGACAACCCTGCCCTAAGTAGAATAGATAGTGGAAGTTTTAATAGAAGTAACTTCATGCGTGTGTTGTTGCTTTTGAAACTTGTATTTTTTCATCAGAGTTTTGAATAACACAGTTAGGGAAAGAAGGACTGGGTTCCATGGGGAGGCCGAGGCTCCCAGACTGAAAACTATAATGCCAGACTGAAAACTATAATCGGCAGCCGTGGCGAAGCTGCCTTGTGGTGCTAACATGGCATGAGTTTTACCTTCTTTGCCACCAAGGCTTTCGGGGAATGTTTGGTTTGAACGACAGCTTAGGTTGCTAGCTTCGTTGTCATCATTTATGCTATCCAATGCAATCGTGGATTCTTACTTATTTATTCTCTTTTCACACTCATGTGCCACTTTTCTGCCAGTTTCAGTTTCAAAAAACAATGGCTTGACGTCTTTAACAGAAGCGATACAAAGGAACAGGGTGGGAAGAGGAAAGGAAGCAAACTCAAGTGTGCCAGCTCTTTCCATAGCTATTTTGTTAGGCTACGTAATACCCAGGTGAATTGGCCATTGCAGGAGTCAGGTCTGTTCTGGGAAGGGAAGAAGGAGCCTTTTGGTTCCAAGGAGGCAGATCTCCCCTGCGTTAGGTATCCTTTTGCCTTTGGGCCACTTGTTTTATTTCTAAATGGGCCATGCTTGTACGAGTCTGAATGGCATAGCACATGGGTAGGCAAACTAAGGCCCGGGGGCCAGATCTGGCCCAATCGCCTTCTAAATCTGGGAATCAGCGAGTAGAATGTGTCCTTTTATTTAAAATGCATCTCTGGGTTATTTGTGGGGCCTGCCTGGGGTTTTATATGAGTAGAATGTGTGCTTTTATTTAAAATGCATCTCTGGGTTATTTGTGGAACATAGGGATTTGTTCATCCCCACCCCCCCAAAAAAATATTGTCCGGCCCCCCACAAGGTCTGAGGGACAGTGGACCGGCCCCCTGCTGAAAGGGTTTGCTGACCCCTGGCATAGCATGTGGGGCCTGATCCGGATTGCGGCCTGTGGGCATTGCTTTTACGCAGCTAATGAATAATGCATTGCTTTCCATCTGGAGATGTATTGTTAATTTCCTTTGTTTAATAGTATCATTGATTACATTGGCGGCTCCACTTCTGAAAGCTGCTTGTGCTCCCCCTACTGGTTTGTCGTTTGCGTGCAACGCGTTCTATGTATACATCTGGATAAGCGGCCTTCAGAATATCGCAGCAAACTGTTCTGGTGGGTTTTTCCTTGCAGCGAGTTGTGATTTTTGTTTTCTTTTTAAAAAAATGTATTGCTGTACGGAAGAGAAATAAAAAGGGGGCTTCTGGGTTTGGGTGTTTTGCATTTAGGCAGAACGGCTGGTCGGAAATCGAACCAACTCTCTCTCTCACATCTTGCAAGCTTTCTGTGTTGAAAAATCCCTGCAATCGGTGCACTAGCACAGTTTTGCCTTGTGGCTTTCCAGTGTTTGCAGTGGAGAGTCATATTTACACAGCAAACATTCTCGCTTCGTGCCAATCTGCATGTCACTTTACGAAAGCTCGTTTTCTTTTTTTAAACTTTTGTACAGATTTTTTTAAACGGGACCCGTTCGCTGGGAACTTGAAGACAGAAGTAGCTGGGCCCCTCACTCCCTCCCCCCAAAAGAAGAAGGGTGGGGTGGGGCGGCCAACACCTGCTGCTCTACAACAGGATAATAAAAATTTGCATTAAAATGGAGGTGCTTCGCTCCCCACCCATTCAGTTCTCCCTTCTTCCTTTTGAGGAGAACAGTTGTGTATGGAAGCATTCTGCTGGGAAAGAAAGGGGTTGGGGAGGGGGCACGGAATTGGGGTGGGGTGGGGAAGGGGAAGGAAGCTGTATGGTGAAAAGCATTTTCAAAACCCATGGCCGGGCGGGGGCAGTTTGTTGCTGGGATTTATAGAGCAGTGGAGAAATGCAATTTAAATTTCAAATTGGGCTGGAGTTTTCACAGTTGCCATGTCAATAGATCAGGCTCCTCAAAAACAGAATGTAAGCAGAGTTTATGCAGAGCCACAGGGGCTGCATTGACTGCGAGGCCTCGTTTTGTTCCCTTTTCTGCCAGTGGTAGGTCAACACTGGTGCAATGAAAACAATCGACTTGCCAGCAGAGTTAGCAAACTTGTCTTTGCAGCCTCTTTTCTGGGGGGGGCCTTGTTCTGT